AGTTTGTTTAGCTATAAATTTGCCAGTTTTATAGATTGGCGACGACAAATTGACCTTTCTTCGCTGCATTTGCTACGTATCCTAAGTGACGGTAAAAGCAAAATAGGTCGTTTTACTTTTGCTCATTTAAGATTGCATGAACGCTTTCTCTCTTTCTGCACTTTAGTCTTGCGGTGGATTTGCAGTACCGAAAATGTTGGACCATCCTGGTAACGACTTCACATTATGCGGCGTCACTGTTGCAGCCGGTAGGGTCATTGCTAAATGTACTTTTTGCTTTACAGTTTTGATCAGCTTCATATTCATCCTGGAGGCACACGCGAAAATTTGAGGAATGCCAGGAGCTCTATTTATTCCCAAACGAAGAGTTACTTAATGAAACCTATCAGTAGCACTGCAGTCATTGCTGAAGTGCTTGAGTGAAAGACAATTTTGCTGTGGTCATTGAAATTGCCTTTCTTAACTCATGTGAGTGATTTAAAATTTTAAGGGAGTAGTGGTTGCGATTGATATAAAGTTTGCTCTATTCAGTAACAGCTACACCGGTCACTGGAAATAATTGGCATCAAGCAATATTTGAAAGCTATTGCAATTCACCGGATATTTACAAGCGAACGAAATTTGTTGACAGTATTGACTGCGTAGCTCAAGAGTTAGTAAAATCATTTTTAAAAAATTCTTCAGACGAAAAGTAGGACAGTTACTCTTTCACTTTAGACGCGGCGTACACGTAGCACCTCTGCCTACTAGAGTTGGCATACGCATAAAAACCAGCTAAAACAAAAGCTTGTCCACGCATTTATTTACAGATTTAAATCCTACCGAAGTGCAAAATAAGGTGTGCATTGGACTTCCATAGGTGAATGCTCAAGCAATAATTGTTGCGATTGTGCGATCGGGTAGCACGGCGGATCTAAAAAGGAGAACTGACCTGAGCTTGCAAGAATGAACGGATCAGTGACCGTCCATTTGAAGCGGAGAGGTTTTGTTTTCAAATGATCCGAATCTTTGAAATGATGGCTGAGTCTCACCCAAATATGCAACATTAACCTTGGGTAACATAAGACGGGAAGAATAGACCAGTCGGAAATTTTTGGACAGAATGATTGTGGATTGATACGCTAAATTATGAGTGGACTGCTCGGTTGTTTTTGGTGCAACATTGAGGCTAGTCAATGGACAACTGAGTAAGGTCATCTGACTTTAATTCTCTGCCGTCGTTATTGTTGCTGTCAAGGACAATTTAAACGATGGTTCATCTTGGTTTATAATTCACCTACATTGCTTTTAACTGGATCTTGTCAGAAAAGTGGCCTATGGCCATTGAATTATCTCATAGCGAGTTAGAGGACAGCCTTCACTGCTCATCTAGAAATGCAAACTCTCGCAACAGTTGGCTAAAATAATACTAAACTAGCTGTGTTACAATGAATAGATGTTTGGATAGGTAGATGGACGTTCGCCTCATAGTCATTCTTGCAATGTTCGCTTATCTCAGACGCAGGCTGCAAGAGGAGACAAATCTTCGAGCATTATAAGTCCCTCATTATCTTCTCTAACATCATTTCTCTTGGCCAGGGCCTGATTGTAAATCATGCAAAATAGTCAAAACACAAATTAGATCTCACATTTAACTAGACGACGAATGAGGGAATAAGCAAAGATAAATACTTTCCAGACGTTGTATTTGTTGGTGAGAAAGTTTGTGCAATTGTGGGTGCATCTTGCAGCATGACCTTGCCATCAGAGTCTAGATCTTCG